AATCATTAATGTTAAGTATTTTTTACTTAATATATTATTGGTGTGTTGGTGGCATACGATCAATGTACGACAAAAAAGACCGAATGAGAAAATATGATTTATTTCTAGTTCAGAATTCACGCGTGCCGTGCCGAATTCCCATCGAATCGTAAGAACCGCCCTAAAAATGCGTCGGCAAAAAGTCGCGTGGGGTAGGTTTTGTAGCGGTTTCCCACAGGTTCGGTAACACACAGCTCAATTTGTGCGTGTCAACGAATAAGGATTGGGTATTAGCGAGTGCCAGTGGAATACACTCGTACGGTCGTCGAACAACGATAAATTTCGAACTCCGTCGTTGTCGATCCATTGAAACGCAAAATTGCGGCGAAGAAATTACGTAAAACGCGTTATCATTGGCTTAAAACCTGAACGCGTTAAAGCCTAAGATTTCGGAATGTCCGGGAATATTTTGTTTCTACTTAAAGGCAGTAAATTTTCGACGAGTCAAACACTTTGTTCGTTTGATATCACTTATATACACACGTGTCGCTTGGGAACACAAATTCGCGAGCAGATTACGAAGAACAATATTAAAAGACGTTAACCTTTGGCACTCTAATAGCCACTCTCAGCGGCCACTTGATTCAGCACATACAAAATTATAAAATTCAATATTAAATGTTAAGCTTTGTATAATACATCAGTATGAGGAACATTGAATAAAAAAAACTGTGCTCCTTAATCTATATATACTGTCTCGTTAAGTTGCTTTCAAAATATGTCCTCTGCATCTCATCAGAAAATGTTGAATATTTTTACTGAAGTACTTTCGGAGTACAAAGGATTAAATTACGTTTAATTAAATTAATCCGAAATAATGTCGCAGTCAAACAAAGCTGAGACCCCTAGTGAATACTTTTTACAAAAATAAATTATGAATGCAACATAAAACTTTATTTCTAACATTGATCCCATTAAACAATCGCTTCCACCTTTACCGACTATTTTTGACGGAGCAACGCTACCTGATACTTTAGCTTATCTCTGTTTTAATTATTGAGAATTTTTCCTTTGTAGATAGCGACGCTTAAAATTGGAACAAATATTAACAGTAATTTATTTATCTATTTATTTATTTGTTAAGAAACAAGGGTCTCTAGCAAAGAGAAAGATAAACAAACGTAATGATAAGGAGTTACATAATTAGTCCAGAGTAAGGAACTAATGACAACAATAAATAACACTGTCATTGTATAACAACGCTAATAACGTAATACTGATATGCTGAATAAAAATGCATAATGATTATTAGCGGTGTGCAAGAACATGGAAATGTTGAGACCCAATGATCAGAATCGGGTTCACGAAAAAATCGAATTTAAGTGAAAGTAAGTTTGTTTGTACAAGTTGGAGTGAAGAAAATAACCATAAATTAAATAAAAGATTATTTGATTATTATTAGATCGTAAATCTGTCCGCAAATTCAAATTTTTCAGGATACATTTATAAAAACAAAATTACGAAAGAAAATAGTTTTTTCTATTGAACACTATAAAAAGCACCGAGTTTTGAATATTTTATATATTTTTCCAAATTTCACACCTACTGCCCAATTTTTCAAACCTCCCATAACTGCATATTTATCTGCAATCTAGTTATTATTTTTACTTCGCACTCTATCCCTTACAATTTCAGAAATTTTAAAAACCCGACCCGAGCCGACCACTCTAATGATTTTACAAAACTCGAGGTTATAAAAATAATTGCAATATTTTTACTCTGTTAATAAACAAGTTTTGCGACTTATTGGTCCGTTGACGATCACAATATCGCTGCATGAGAAAGTAGGCAAAGTATCCCGGAAAAACTTAACGGCAATGGAATATGGTCGGACACGTAAAAGAATTATCGGCGAGCAGGCCGTGCCAATAGAAAAGAGGCGTGTCGCTGGTTTTGCGCAGTGTCCCATGAAACGTCAACGCGTTCAAATGGAATCCCCATGCTCGGGGTGAGCACAGAGGAGCACGTCGACCAGGGGCTGGAGAGGGGAGGGGCCGAAGGGCACGAGGGTGAAATCAATTTTCGTTATCACCGTCAACCAGCCGCCCCATATTAATCCCATTATTAGTGTTTGTTTTCCACGTGCGACTCTTGACAGATATTGGATACTCTTCTCGAACTATTCGAGTTCCGGTGCTCGTCTAACTGAAGGAGTCTCACCTGTTTCAACCCTTTGCACTCGATATATCTCACATGTCGCCATTTGATTTGATACAGCTTTGAATATAACAATAATAATATAATAATAATATAACAGATATAATATTAATGCAGGATTTGATATAAATTATAAAGTTTAACCCCCTATAGTCCGAATTTTTTTTCGTGTCTATAAAAAAATATATGTAATATAAAATTAACAAATATCAACTTATAAATACAAATGATCAATGCATTCAATAGTTTTAATAATTGTATAAAAAGGAATATACCTGGTAATTTTGAAATTACAATGAGTTGAACTTTCACGCCTGTGTGTATAAAAGTTTAAGTTAATTAGTTACTTAATTTCATTCGCCACTTTGCTATGCAAAATGAAAAAAATCAACAAGATGCCAATATATTGGTATATGTTTAATTAATAAATCTGTTTTCTTTAATAAATGCTATTTGATTAAGAGAGACACGAAAATTTTATTCAGCCACGTACTTTATAAATTCATTAATATCTGTAGTTTCTCGATCAAGCTCTCATACAATACTTATAGTGATATACTAAAAACACTTCCAACGAAATTTATCGTGATACAGAGATTTCTTTAATCTTCTCGATTTTCGAAGAACGTCGATAACAATTATCAAATGTTTCAATTCACTTTTAATCCGGTAAACTCTTCATATTGACCTATATTTAGTTCCGGATTTAATCGATTCAACCGCTAAACAGGTATTTTTAGCGAAAGTCAACAAGGCATAGATTATTACATAATAAAGAAATTATATCATTAAAGGTCTCTCATTGTCTAAAAATATATCAAGTATACATTTCAGTAAGTACACTACATTTTATACGAGTTTACTTGCAACAGAAAAGAAATAGTCACTTATAGAGATTTTGTAAAGGTCTCTGCTTATGTACAAATGTAAATTTCGACTTGTAAAGGTTGACCTTCTTCTATAATTTGATGTGTAGAAATGAAATACATACAGAGTGCAAGGCAAATACATCAAATTACAGAGTTCCGTACAAGTTTGGCATTCTAAATTCAACCTTCCGCAAGCCAAAGTTAACCGTTTGCAAATCAAATTCACTCTGTTAGAACTAAAACGTGAATTTAATATTTTACAAAAATATGTTCCTAAATGTCTCAACAGGGTGAATTTGATTTGCAACGGTTCAATTTAATTTCCAACAAGTAAATTTGATTTGCAAACAGGTAACCTGACCGGTTTTAAAATTTGATTTAAAATTCTGCGTTTTTCTTCATTCATTTAACTTCACATCAATTCCTGTATTGTCCGATTAATCAGTTTTTCAGTTTTTGACTTCCGTCCTGTTTCTATTTCCAATAAGGAAAATTTATCGTCTAACTTGTTTACCTTTATTTTATAACCACTTATTTGATTGGTGACTTTAGAAATATCTGTGTATGAAATGTCGGTAAGTTTAGTGTTAATTTCCAACAAGTAAATTTGATTTACAAACAGATAACTTTGATTAGCGACGAGTGTATCCGATTCGCAGACAGGTGACTTTGATTTGCAAAAGATTTCATTTTCGAATACTAAACTTGTATTTCGAACTGTAGATGTTCTCATAGAAAACATTGTACATTCATCTCCGCTTTCCAGCGAACTGTAAGTCCGTAACGAAGACAAGAGAAAAGCAGTCTTTAGTTTAAAACGGGGGTGGCCGTTGTCAGCCGGAAGACAGATAAGTCGTCTTTTGGCAATATTCCAAGATAGGTATCGAGCAAGGACATTCACGTACAAGAACGGAGCGGTAGTTGGCTGTGAATCCTCTCCGGAAAGTCGTCGGAGCCACGGAGGCTGCGCGGGTCGCGAGTGTTCACCGCTGATAAGGGTTGCTCCGCCCCCGAAACCCCCGGGACCCGCGTCCACCCGTACCCCACTCCACACGATCGCGGGGTCAAGTTGTCGGGTAGCTCTTTCATCGGCGCAAAACGTTAATCTACGGGATAAAGGAACAGACAGAACGGAGATTAATTTTTTAAGATGTCCGAAGACGTAAAGGATTACCGGACCCTTAATTATCGTCGTTTTCGGTCACACGAATTTTTCGCCGGGAAACAATCCCTTACAAAACCCGTTGTCTATAACCCCTTTCTTTGTACTATCCTTTTCTTGTTTATACTTTATCTTCTATTTTATCGTATATATTTTTACCTTCATCTTCTTCTTCTTCTTCTTTTTGACTTATCTGGTTTATCTGACTAATGTTTAGACAACGGATCTTCATGCAAAATAGAGATTTCTGAAAGTGATTTAACACTAAAACTACTAAACGGATGTATCGAACTTTTTAATTTTTTTTATGGAAATATTTTGGTTAAGATTCAGTTGACTTGTATTTTAGTTTACATAATTATCCAATCAACTAGTCTAATCATTTTTCGAAGAAGCATTTATGTTTTTTCAATAATTGTGGAAGAAGTTGTTAGAGATCATTTATAGTCACCTATTGATTCTGGTTAAAAGAATAAGGGATGAAAGGAAAGTCATTTTTGTTCTTAAGAGTCTTAATAAATTGAAGATAAAGTAATGGCGTTCTTAAATTTTAAGAACGTTTCTCCGCTATCAAAATCCAGTATCTACTATGGAACTATAAAGAAAGAAAGTTTGTTTGTCTATTCGAGATAATCACAAAAACCGATGTTCAATTTCTTCGCGTATTTTTTCAAATTGCATCGATACTCTTCTCTAGAATAAATGCTTGATTTACATATATATGTACAAAAGAAGTAAATAAACGACTGATGCGGTTAATTAAATTTTTTTATTAAAAATATAAATCAGCTATACAATCTCTAAACATGTATTTAATCCCACAATGATCGATAAGGTACAATTCACAATAAAAAAATCTTAGCCGCATGAGTCTACGTGAAATAAAATGACGTTATACATAATTTAACAAGAAGCAAATTGTAATAAATAACACAAAGGATATTCCGTAGCGCTATATCATGAACATGAATGTTTTATGTGTTCAATATTCGCTGCCAATTAACGATTACATTCGTTAGAGTCTTAATTACAAATAATTCTGTCATTAATTACACCTTGTTCATTAGAATATTTTATACAATTCTATCCATATCCATTAGCATACGTAACAAATCTCACGTGGTACTAATGTACAAAGCGTATCGATAATATGTATATACACGTTTATTATTAACGACCTAACAGCATCAAACATTTTCTAACAAGTAGTTGACATTTATCGCAGCTTCTGAGTCCTCTGCAATTACACTGCAGTCCTCTAATTCTGCATCATCATTTCATATGTATTCTTATTTCTTTAATATTTCTAAATTCGGAAAAGTATAAAAATAAAGTTACAATTAATATACATTTTTTGTTCCTTAGTGTTTCGTCAGTATGCTAAGCCTATTTCTCACAATTAGTGACTAGTGAAAAAACATTTTCAAACAAGTTTACCTACTTCAGCCTAAGCTTTCATAACTCTTACAGAAATTCGCAGTTTATAATCCAGATGTTACTTGTCAATCTTCGAAATATAATTTTTAAATCATTCATTCGAAGATCCACGAGTCCTCGACACAATGTTAACACTAAAATTACCAAAAAGTCAAATTGTCTACTGTGTACATAGAAATTACATAAGTTAATTCACTAAAATTCATTTATGCTTTACTCTCCATTGTGGTAAATCAATTTACTCTAACACTGCTTAGAATAATAATTCAGCATCAATAACGTTTAACCCAGTTTATTAACATTTCTTTTATAAATCATATAAAATTTAGAAAAAAGAACATTCAAAACGTCATTCTGATCCTTCCGGTAGTTTAGCGTCAAACCCACAATGGGTAAACACCAATTGGGCTTAGAATTCAACTAATCTAGAACTCCACCATCGTATCCATTTGACCTCTAGAACTCGACCATCGAATCGTTCGCGTTTCACCATGAAAGAACTATTTACACAGTTAGCGAATCGCAGCATGTAATCGAAAGTAGAGGAAAGGGAAAATACTGTTGCGCTGTCGCGACGATTCGTCGTCATCAAGTCAACTTAATCCTACTATTTACAAGTGAGCATCGGCGAGATCAGAATACTGTCCTTCCGTCGTGCCGTTGCGGCGTGATGTCAATGAAAAGCAAACACGAGGATGAGCAGAGGCACCAAAATAATGCAGAACAGATAAATCGAAGTCCTCGGCTCGCACGTGGACACCACCACGTACTCCTCGTTCCATTGGGAATCGTTACCGCTCAACGGTAGCTCTAGAACCGTTCTCTCATTGCTGAACATCTTGAACGGCAACGAACACTCGGACGTGCTGTTCTTGCACTCATGGACCGGATTCGAGATATTATAAACGGTCTTCAGAAGATCGAAGTTCACCCGCACGTAGTTCGGCTGGATCTCGTTCTCGGAGTTGAAGACGAAAAAATAGTAACCGTTTACGGGGACTCTGTGAAAATATATAACGTATATATAGGTAACCCCCACATAACACGGCATTTCTATAGAACGGTTTCGGTCTAACATGGTTTGAGAAGTGGGGAAACACGGTTTGAGAATTAGAGAAAAGAGGCGAACAGGAAACGTAAACGAGTTAGATGATATTTTTCTTAATGGAAACAGTAATAAAAAGAAAGACAAGAATTGGAAAACTGATTAATCGGATAATACAGGAATTGATATAAAGTTAAATGAACGAAAGAAAACGCAGAATTTGTAATCAAATCATTAAATCGACCATTTGACCAGTTCGCGGTACGGTTAGTATTATCACGTTGACTGCTACGAAAAACTTCATCATCCCCAATGATAGGATTAATATTTTATCTACAGGAAGCCTATTTACTAGAGTCTCCAATTTATGCTGCTGTATTGAAAGGAAGTTAAATATTGATTAATCGTGTTATATAAGAAAATGTATTGCCTCGCATCTATAATTGCTACAGCTACTCAGATATGAATAAAGAGATCCTCAATTCTTAATCTTTATTAGACGATAAGCGAAGTTTAAACGATATCTTATTTAGCAGTACATTAACATTTATTAATCTAAAATTACAGAATGAAGTCAAAATTACTAAATGAGCTGTTCTAGTAACGGGCAAACTGAGATATGAATCAAACGAAATCTCAATAAATGTATCCTTATAATTTCTATGCAAAAATTAAGAAAAAAGATCGATTCGATTGCACATTAATTTTGTAGAATTAGAAGTCTGATTACTTACCTGTATGTAACAGTGTTCGCGAAAGAAACCGCAGTGTGCTCATTCTCATGTTTCGGTGTGCAATGACGGTGCGGCGTTAAGGGTAGATTCAGTATCAACCCATCGCACTCCAGCAATCGTTCCTCGGAGCTGCTAAACGAGCTCCAGAACTCGGAGTTGCTTCTGTCGTTCAGCATCGTCTCATTCACGGTACCTCTGTCCTCGGCAATGCCATCTGGGTGCAACATACCCTGATGTTCGTGAAGAAATATTATACAATAAAAACAAATCAATTATTTCGGCGAGCAACGATTTCTACATCTTTAAATACTTAATACTTAATTTATACCTTTATACACTTAAACACTTCAATATTGTTAAATAACTCAGCATCATTTGTGAAATTTCTAAATCTATGATTCCGCAAAGTATTTACATTCGATGCGAAAATGCATTCTTTGTAAATTACAGAATTATTAAAAACATTCAAAAACGATACGTTATATTTCTTGTAATATTTGTACTCCTTTCGTTGAAGAATTGCTTAGATATTCTGTTGAAAGAAGAATTCACATTTCTCAGAAATTCAAAATAAACCGAATACGAATAGAATCTTATTGTTTCAAATTTGAAACACGACAAAAATGCATTTTAATTTAATTCTATAGATATTGTTGTTTAAACTTATAAGATACGGCATTACATGTAGCAACTCAAGGACTCGTTTTAGCTTCATTCTTTCAATATTTTGTTAAGAAGATTCATTGAATTGAATAGAATATTACAATTGATAAGATCGCAGCTGAAACGAACGCTGATAGCGAACGTATTCAAGTTCTTTTCCCATTCGCGAGAGAATATTACGAACAAAATGATTCGACGTGCCCGAATTATGTAAGGGAACATTTCCGAGAAACAAATCTTTCGATTCCAGATTCGAGAGCCGGTAACATATTTTGACATGATCGGTGGTACCGTTATCTCTCCTCTCGATCAAACTGTCAGTTCATTATCGCATCGACACAACAGCCGTCCCTATCGATATTCTCCGGATTCGCGACACATCTCGGCTATTATTCCAGCCGAAAGCGTCTCGCGTAAATATTTATCGCTCCGTCTAGAAAATATCTTGATAAGGCCGCACTCGAACATTCCGTCGATGGAATTACTCACGAGCAAATTGCAGATAACCGGGCTCGGGAACAATTATGTGATTTAGCTGCCTCTAATGAGGACAATATAAGTAATGCCGGATATCTATCTCGGGTGATAAAGGATTGATTATAATCCATGAAATTGGCCTCCGTTATCGGTCGGAGCGTGTTAACCGTCGAAATTAATGACAAAATGGAAGTGTTCCTTTCGAGCCATCCTGACAACAACTTATAAACCGTATCGCGACGATCGACAACGAAATTCACATCTAATGGCACTCCTCGTTAATACGCGACACGATCTTGCTTCTACGTATTATTCTTTATCAGCGTTTTAGAGGAAATATCGCGGGCTCCGAAATTTTCCACGGTCTCTCATTAACTCGATTTTAAGTACATTTAAACCTTCGCCATCTGCATCGCGACGAAACGATTAAAAGCTGACGATATATTGGCCACGCGAGTAGCAAAATATGCTTGAAATCCGATCGGATCGATATGCAAAAATAATATTACTTTAGGAAAGTGGGAATCAATGAGAAATTGTTTTTAATGATTTCTATTAGACGTGTGTATTTATAAAGTTTTTACTACTGGGATGATAAAATAAACGTTGAAACACGTTGTAATTGCATCGATATGCAAGAATAATAACTACGTTGAGGAGGTGAATATTTTATTCCAATTTGGATGGGAATGATTTTCTTCTTTCTGTATCGTAGAAAACTAAATGGTATCAGTGTAAAGTTATTTGCAATGATTTCTTTTGGATGTATGTTAAACACTCTTTTACTACCGCGCTTAAGAACATCCGACTCAAAGAAGCTTAGCATAGCAGCAATGGAATTACAGGCTTATTTTATTCTAATAGCGCAATTTTCTAAGATAAAAGACACTCGTGTAGAAATTGCCACTGAAGGTGTGTCAATCAATTAATCCTCGCGTACGAAAGTTTCGAAGCGAAGAAGACAGGAAATAGCATTAATAATTTCGTAATGAAACTTTTTTATTAGCTTCAAACTTCAGAGGTTGTAAAAGTTAAAAATCTATTTTAGTAGCTTCAAATTTCAAAGGTTCTTGCATACTTAGTACTCTAAGTAAATAAACAAATAAATAAAACCTTTTAATATTCACTAAATTCAAAAACAGTTACTTTACCTCTTCGACAGCGACATCGGCATCTTCATCCTCCTCGGTCAGTTCCTTGTGAAGAGGCGATGACAAGATCAAATCCCTTCGTCTCCTCTGTTTCTCGGCCTCGGAGAGATCCCGATCGTTCATTGTCTCGCCAACCACCCGTCGCAACTTCTCGCTTTCAGGACGCTTCTCAATTTCATCCATGAGCCTCCTAAGTATTTTTTTCCCGCGCAAACCCAACGAGCTGATTTTATCCAAAACATCCCGAAACACTTCACCAGACGTTGCTTCTTTCGCTGGTGTCCTTGGCAACTCGTCGACCACTTCTCCGATTAACCGCTGGCCGTCATTTTGTTTTAATTCACCACGCTCTTCGTTTATTCGCTCCGATTTTACACTTTTCGCTTTCTGATTCTGAACAATCTCGCTTCGTTTACCCGAAAGCTTGTCGAGCAGTTCCGTCGTCTTTTGTTCCACGCTTTTGTCCGCCATTGCTCGCAGAATCGAATCGGAGGAATATTGAATAGGCGGCTTATCGATGTTCGCTTCCTCCACGAACGTGCCCTCATAATGATGATGAGGGCTCTCCTTCTGCTTCTTTTTGGTGTCCAGGGTTTTCACGAACAGCTCAGTCAGGATTGCTCTCATCGCTTTCGCATCTAGCTCATTACTGTTGTAGTGGTGCGCTGTGGGGTTCGCTGCGTGTCTCGAGTTGTTGAGAAGGAGAGCCTGGTCCTTGTGGTGGAACTGGATACCCTGATGGACTCTCTTCATTTTGTTGGGCTCGTTGCTTGGACTTTTGTCCTACACGAAGCATAAATTATTCATTTACTTAACACGTTGAACGCGGCGTTGGTCTTTGGGGATCAACAGTATATTTGAGGAACAATATTTTATAAATCATATAATATTGCATGATATGTCCATATACCTTGTAATGAATTTTACTAAAGCATTGTAAACAAAGACAGAGTTTTTCTGTTATATCTGTTGTTTATATGCAAATTTTTTAAATTACCTGCTGCCTAAATGGAAAGCAAACAAAATGAGCTCAGCCTTTAACGTGTTAACAGGTGTTTACATAAATCTCTATGAATGTAGAAGTGAATGTAAAGAGTTATGTTAACATATACGCTAGTACTGCTGACAGAAACAAATATAACAGAAAAATATTATAACGCATTACCTTTTTAAGTATTTACTAAAATACACTTTTCATACCTCGTTCGTTTTATTGACTAAGAATAGTCCGTTCTCTTTGGCGACTTCCAGAAGTTCCTCTAATTCCTCGCTACTGTCGTCGCCGATAAAAGCACATTCGTGAAGATGTTTGTGCCCGCGAATTATCGTTAGTGAAGCACCAGGCCATCTATCATTGAGTTCACAATATTTGTAGAAAATAGAAGAACATTTATAAAATTATTTAACGAATTGGATCAGTATGTTTTGTAGGCCGTTTTTAAACAATCTAATTATGTACCTGACACAGGTGGAGACAGTGACGCTGCTGCCGCGGAGAAGATAGAACCCCCAGTACTCCTTCATGTCGTCCTCCAGGATCAGATGTCTGGTCATTGAGACGTGTTGCACATCGCTCTCCACTTTCGGTTCCTCGCTCATTAGGTAAGCGTTGAACGTCGCGTTAACTTTGATCACTTGACTCTGCAAAGATTCGCGATACTCAACGGAGGCAGATTTAATCATATTCGAAGTGTTTGTTTCGGGCGACGAGTGTCGATCGAGTAACAAGAGGAGCAAAGAGTTAGCTGTCAATGAATGTGATCAAAATTCACCGGAATGTGATCTGACCACGTATTAATTAATCGTATCAAATTACTTTTTCTCTCCAAAATTGATGATTTTCGTTTTTTAATTAAAGTTTCATTTAAAATTCCAAAGGGAAGTTAACTGGGGTTTTTAACAAAGGAAATGTTATTTAAGTTTTCAACAATTGAGGTAAAACCTTAATTTTCTTGCCGAGATAGAATAGACCAAAACGAATCGGCTCGAAATAAGAGTCCAGACCACATTTGTTACGTCGCAAATTATATTTACCATTTTCTATTTCTTATTTGCAATAGGAAGATGTACAGATTCTTTTTCATTTTCAATTGTCAATGTCCTAATATTTTTGTTTCTTTACTCTCAAAGAGATGATCCAATTCGCCCCGGTCTACCCTATCGAACGAAACTGAAAAGTACCTTACCTGGCACCAAGTCGTTGACACTTTGGCGTCGATGAGCCTTTGATCGGAAACGGCTAAAGGATACAATTGCTCGGAATAAACGCGATATCGCAAGTACATCGGTCCCGCGACCAACACGGCCGGCAGAAACATTCCAAGCAAACATAATCGCAACAGTCTCAGCGGCACCTTGTACTCGGATCTACGAGGCTGCCAATCTCTCGGACGAGAACCATCCTCTACGAATATGTAAAATTTCTCATGAGAATCCTCTATCCCATTTCCGATTGGACAACTACAGAACGATTCGAAAGATCGTCGCTAGTTTAACCCTTATACTACCAAGGTACTTTTTAACGAACGGCGATGGCTGGGTCTATCCTGATCCAGATATTTAAAGATAAACAGAAATTTAATATTGAACATCTAACATTAGAAGTTTGCAGCATCGCTAACCAAATGGCACTGTGTGTAAAGAATTAACAATTCTGTAATAAAAGAATTCAATAATAATATTGTTTTTGTAGCATACACTGGAATAGTGTAATACATGTCAGAAGGACCTTTGGAATCGTCCTGTATTAAAGGAAAACCTGTAAATCATTTTATATGATAATTATTCTTTTTTTTCATTTCACCTTACCCAGACCTTACCTAGATTAATTATAAGAATTCCTGTATAATCACGATTAAGAAAATTCAACGTTGAATTTCAAGGTCAAGATGAATTTTCACAAAACCTTCAAAAACGTATCTATATAAATAGATTTATTGTTCAATCACACATAACATATAAAAAAACCTTCATTTTCGCATAAGTTAATTAATATTCTGTAGATTAAAAAACAGTCGGTAGACAAACTGTTCATTCCTTTATTGCATTACATTACAAACACGCATCTACCGGAACGCATTCGCCATTACATCGAAATTATTTCGCATAATGTTTCACAACTATTCCGACCATTCACGGCACAGTTGCAAATAGTCCGTAATATACAATTTTCATCGCATATTTCCATCCATGTATATTAATTGCCACAAATTTTAAAACGTCTGGTCATTTTACAATTAGTGACGCGCAATCCGGAAAAGATTGTACCCTTTACGAGAACTAACGTCAGCCGATAAATACTACTGACATCGAATATTATTCCTAGCCCCGATTTGTTTTACAGAACAACTCCTGCTTATCGGAAAGTTATCGTTCGAAGGGGAATAAAGAAGTTCATCACTCACAATCGCGAGCCAATAAGAATTCATCATTCGCGAGCTTCAGCTGAAAACGGTGAAAAGTTCTGCAATTTACTTCATCCACGATGTTTTAGATAGCCTTTCAAAAAATCAGTTACATTACATTTTCATAAAACTTGACTTTCGGAGTAAATACACTGTTATATAAGTAGTATATTTGATAATAACAATAATAAATAACGTTAATTATCGGTACTAATCGCAAATATTCGTGTAGAGTTCCTGCGTACACGTGCTTCGCCTTTGATTAATTTATTCGATGCATCGACATCCGGATGAAGATGATTAATCACGAACGATACATTTCCCCTTAGAAATATTAGAGAAAGTGAAATGGTATATTAACTAGACATCGCAAAGTTCTCGACGCAAATGGAAAATTCATTGCGTTTCACGGGATTGGTCGAGTCTGGATCGTTCGATGAAGCGTGGGAGTCATCGAACTCGCCGCAGCCACCGTGAATCGGATAGGTTCGACGAACAAAGGGGCTATCGACTTCGTCGTTCACCTTTGTACTAAACTGAAGCGATAACCCTCACGTAACTGGAATTATCGTGCCGCGAGCTATTGTGCCTTACGAGCAGTCCTCGGCGCGACGCAAACACGCGTGTCGCCAGAAAAATATAAAAAAAACTGATTGTTCACCCAATTCTTTGAGACTGGAGTATGATTATTAACCCCTTGACCTTTAGTATCGTGTCGGACTCATAATGAAAATTTTAGACTTTTAAACTTTCAAACTGTATTCGATAAATTCAAATGTTGTTTACGTCTTTTGGAATAAAAATTAAATATTACTTTTCCGTTATCAATCTTTAACATCTTAACGATAAGTAACATAATATATGTTACATAATAAGTGATAATAAGTAACGAGTATTTTTCCCTTTTCTAATTAACATGAAAAGAATCACATGTCATGGGGTTAAAGATACAAAGAAGTCTCTAATGTCAACTGTGTACTGTTCGTTAAACTCATCTTATAAAAATGAAAGCAATGATTTGATTTTCCTTCCAATTATAAGCACTACCAATGCTACTTTAAAAAGTATACGTTTCAGTCGTAATTTTCGGTGTTACAGAAATTTCATTATAAAACGACAGATTTCAATGCTGTGTCAGAAGTCGTCATCGTGGTGTCGCGTCATAAAAAGCATCTAAGTACTTTATATACGAAGGAAAAATGTCGATGACCTTGGGATGACCTCTAAGATAGCCTTAAGTAATTTTTGTTTACCTATCGCAGTGAAATATCTGCTTTCGAATTGTGCAAACATTTCCTGGTTTACTTTTTATTTCCAATGCCAACAGAAATAATTGAATAGCAAGAAAAAATGTCACGTACCTTTCTTACCATGACTTTTCCATTAATTCCCAAATGACAAAACTAACTACTTTTTTAGTTTGTTTTCCCTTCGTAACTTTATAAGAAGACAATTATTAATTACTTGATATCACAATTCTTACGTTACGCCATTATCTAGTTATTTAACCTACTGAACACTTTTATTCGACATCAGTTATCTCACAAACTACAATTGTTTTCCAGTAATTATGAAATTCCGGTGATCGATGTTCACCGTAGCAGTCCACGCGTTAATTCCCGCGTTCGCAACAGGGCATTTTTGCAAATTCTTGTAAAAATTGAACAAGATCACTTCGAATATCCATTTTTTAAGCGTCTTTACATTCAATTTTACTTCGAAACCAAAGAATTCACACAAATATATTACAATAACAACATTTATTTAAATGCAAACATTTCGAAGACCAACGTAAAATTTAAGCCGCGTTGCCGAGTATTTAGAAACAACGCGCAAATTCGCGCATTAAAATACACCACAGGATACAATAATTATCAGTGCATCACGACCGCGTGAAAAAAATCCCCAGAAAAAAGGAAGCGCGTCCGTACTTTTTTTAAATCGCCGTGAAACATTCGTCGTAATCTCATTCATCGCGCGATGCGTATATACGGGGTGATCAGAAACTCGTGGTGCGGACTTTGCACGAGGAAAGATATCGTTCAAAATAAACCGAGGTCGTGTTTGCAAACATCGAGCCGATATTTACAAACGGAACGCTCATTCCGTCAATCCTGAATCCGATGTTTCATTACCTCGTGTTTCTGGACACCCTGTGTACACTGAACGACCCTCGTATAGGTGAACAGGGATTTAAAAATAAAGTTTCTTCTATCAATCTCCCGGGAAAGGGGGGATTATATACGTCGCCACTATTACGATTAAATAAGCTACATCGAAGAAGAATATGCGATTAACGATGTGAATGCGTCAATGCGTTCAATTTCAAAGAAGCGCACGTATATATGTATTTATGTATCCCCGCCGGCGGCATTATTACTTAAATACCGTCGTCGCATAATTAGCCAATTCACTTATCAATACTAATACGATTTTGATGGGACATGTGTACATAGATCGGTCAGTTGCGACTGTATGCCGGATTGCACGTACGCACACACCTCTCACACCACGCGACGCGTTTTCACCACGTGGCAAGCTTGAGGGACCAGTTTAAAGCTTTGTTGTGTCGTACAGTTTTACGATGATGCACTGTGAATATCATTGCACCAGTATTCTTGTAGACTTACTTAAATTAATCTAGGTGTTGGAAATTCTGTCATTTTTACGTGTACTGCTGAAGAAGACTGAGGCCGGATATGTATTACAATTGAGAGATTTGTCATTTTTTTGTCTTGATACGTGTTACGCTTGGAACTGTAGGTGATTGGAAAATACTGTTTAGTTCCAATGTATGATCGCACACCTACAGTATTATATAATGTTTGAAAATTGTTAAATATTTATGAGCTTCCCATGTAGGGGAAACGCAGTGTAACATCACACGGATGAACATAATTAATAGTTTAATAAGTTTGAGAGAAAAGTATTTTCCTTATTTATATGTTCGCAACTATGTTGAGTTCAGAAGGTAAAAATAATTTGAACTACAGATAATTTAATTTTATTAAAAATAGCGTATCGACTCGCAGCGCTGGGACAGAGACTATTTTTCAACAGCATAGATAACTAACATCGCGTTACGGACACGCGTTCCAGGTGATTAATAAAATAATACATAAACGAGACAAAGCATACCAAGCATATCTATTTTTAATGGCGTCGTTGGCATTCTCCTTGTAGAACCGTGGCATAGATCACTTTCAGGATCAGTTCGCCTATGCGGGGATTATCTTAATGTTGTATCACACACAAGCACAAATCAGATGTTCAAATTAGTATAACTTTCTAGAATAAATATAAAATTATACCGTTTCCAATTTAGATTTTGGTACCATTATTTTAAAACCATTTAAATTATTTTCAATCAAAACTTCGTACAAATTATATTTTTTCGATGATGAATTAATAAAAATGTTTATGTTTATATTTAAAACTTTTTTTTCAAATTTGCATTTTGTTACGCGGTTTAATATGAACATACAACTTAAACGTATTAATTAATTATGTTAACTCGATATCGCGAAGTTACGTAAATGCACGATGTGTATCGTTCGCTGCCGACAGATCGACTGATTCCGTGAACGAACATGTCATGCTTTGTATCAGTGCCTTATCAACTTCTATTGTGCTGGGGATAAGCTCCCACCTACTGTATGTCTATTTGCACAAAATTGTGGCCCCACCGCTAATCCACGTTGTCATCGGTACATTGAAATTATCTTATGAAGCGTAGTAAACAAAAGCATACGGCACTGAGGGCATGCATCCAAATATTTTTTTGGCGATGTTGCCAAAATTTGATGCGCCTATCGTTTTATCGATGCCATATACACGTGGAAAGAAATACATCTCGCACGAAAAAATTAATTCCGCTATTCCACAAGTGTACGAATATTGTTTAGTAAAATTATCGTGCTTCAATGTTTGTTTAGAAACAAAAAAACAATGTATTTTTACATTTAATAATACACAGTCTATACAGAGTTCTGTACAATACGAGAACAACATAAGAAGTTTACTGTTATTTGAATGTAATACTGAAATTATTTATAATATATGTTATTTACGGCGTGACCCACCCCGTCTACTTTTATCTTCCCTTAATTTATGCGATTTTTCCCCCCTTCGCCTTTTGTTTAATGGATTTCGAGGATCGTAAATTTCGAACCAATCGTCGTCTTTTGTACTTGCATCTTTAGCGAGAACCGGCGCTTTCTCTTCACATTGTAACGCATGGACCATCCAAGACTCATCAGAAGGATCGAAATCTTCTTCTTTGTTACTTTCCTTTTCTGATGGTGTAGGTGATTTATCTCTACTAACCTCCTTTGCATTCTGAAGCTTAGACTTAAATTTCTTTAATAAGTCCATTGTAAAATCTTCGCGACTTTTACCCCTCTTAGGTATTTTAGATTTTGCTTCTTTGTATTTTTCTTGAGTCTCAATGTATTGTTTCATAATTTCTGTTTTCTGTTCCTTCTTTTCTTCTTGTTCATCTTTTAATTTTCTATCCATTTCTTTTGCCTTTTTCTCATTTTTAACATCGCGTTTTAGGTCACGAATTTCTTTTCTAATTTCTTCCCTACGTACAATTTTATTATGAATATTTTTATATTTTTATATTTTTATATTTTTATATTTTTATATTTTTATATTTTTATATTTAGATTAATAAAGCATACATACGCCTTTTTTCTACGTTCTTCTTCTCTATCTTTTCCGAGATAGTATTCTTCTTCTTTCGTATCTTGGTCTACTTCAACATCATCCACATTAAAACTATTTATCTGTTTAGGTTCTTTCTTGGTTTCTTTCAGTTTATTTTTTATTCTTTCTTTCATTGCTCTAAGAAGACAATAACATTAAAGTAAAAGGACATTTTTTCAAAAAAAGAAAATTGCATACAATAAACTTACTCTTTCTCTTTTTTTATAGCTTCTAATTCTTCTGCAGTTTTCATTTCACTATCACTTTCCCAGTCACTACTACGATCTTCTTTTTTCTTTTTGCTTGGAAGCCCAACTGGTTCAACAGCTGGTTGAGCACTCAACTCTGGATTAGATAAATGATCATGCGCAGATTTACCTTTACCAGTAAATTGTTTATTTAATATCGCAGATTCTTCCTCGTCTTCTTCCGCCTCTTCCCCAAAAGATAAAAGATTAAAATTTCTAAAAGAAAATAGCTTACACTGAAAAATATCTTGGATATAAAAAGATTTTACAAACATTTATATCTTACTTTACTCCTGCTTTTGTACTTTTTGTACTATCCTTTATATCTTCACTTCTGTTTGCTATTACTCTAGGTACGATATCAGAAAAAGGATTAGTCAATATTTCAGTTTTTAATACTTTTGGAGGATAAAGAGGTCTGTCATTCTAGAAAGAAGAGGAAGTATTATAATAATATATTATCATTAATGTCTTTTAATAAGTTAACATACTTAATAAACAAACGTACTTCATCTACCAGTGCTTCTTCAAGTTTAAGCATATTATATACAGTTTCTCCAGTAACTTTACCAAATATAGTATGCTTATTTTGTAATTCTGGTGCAGAACCAAGGGTAAAAAAGAATTGAGAACCATTATCATCTTTTCCTGCATTTGCCATAGCAAGTAGACCTCGTCTACAGAATCGTAATCTTGTATGGAATTCATCCTAATGCATATAAATATATTAATTAAATACCAATTATATAAAACTTCAATTTTTATTTAAAACTTAAACATACTTTAAATGGTTGTCCATATATACTTTCACCACCTTCACCTGTACCAGTTGGATCGCCACCTTGAGCTATAAAACCTTTGATAATTCTGTGAAATATTGTATTGTCATAATAGCCTTCCAGACACAGTTGTATAAAATTTCTACAAGCTTTGGGAGTTTCTTTTGTCCATAGTTCCAAGTCGATATCACCCACTGTTGTTTTCATCACTACCTATTGATTATAAATTGATTTTTACAGAATAAAATTAAATATATCACAAATTGCGTTTATTATGTAACTACGTGAATATTTATAAAAAAGTTTACATTATAAATACTTATTATTATAGGTTACGTTACTGAGGACAGATAAATGTGTCATTAAATATATTAAATTCATACTTACTTTACCCGTTGTAGGTGGTTCTTGTATGTAAATATTACTCATGATTGCAAATGTATGTTAATAATCACAATAAATTGCATATTAAGAAAAATATTTCATGTTATAATTGTATTCATCTGACGCGATCAATATTCCTTAGATACGTATATCTATACATATGTCAATGACAGATGTAATGGAATTAACTTCGTGAAATAATCTATATTATGAAAATAATATGTAAGTCAAGTTTTTAATATATATTTATTATTCATTTTATGAAATGTAATAATTAGTACTCATAAGAATAGTGAATACATAATTATTTTATAAACAAATAATAATACTAAATTTTTAAAAAATTTCTTTAGATGCTTAACTATTTCATTACATTTCTTATAATTTCTTCCAAATATTTAGTTTAAGCAATACAATGATAATAGAAACATATTTACTGTAGAAGTGTTTGAGTAACATAGTATTGATAAAACATTTTGTATTGATATAAGTAAACTATGTTGATATAAAGTTGAATGACCCAAGTGCTTTGTATATTTACAAATCAATTATAAAAACTATAAAAGTTTAGATCTATTCATATATAAACTCGCAATAACTTATGTTTATTTCACTAGAATTTCATAATAATACATCAAACTTTTGTGGCAACAATTTATTTGCAAAAGGCATGGATACAACTAGGGTAAATGTACATAGTTTTAATAGTTTAAATATTATTTCAACGCCTGACCATAACAAAATATATAATGAAATTGAAAAATGTTTAAAATATGATAATATTAAAGAACTCCCTATAGATTGGGAGGAGAATATTTTAAATTTCTTATCAAAAAAGTACAAGAAAAAATATTCTTTATTAGTACAATCAATGCTAATGGAAGTAAAAGAAATCCTCACTAAAGACATGCAAACCTTTGCAATGAAAGTTATATTATTATCACCGAAAAAGGAAAAGAACATTTTTTCTGTTACATGTTTCACGAAAGAAAACAATATTTTCAACTATAACAAATTTGTAAAACATCGTAGATTATTAGCTACAAAATACTTTCTTTATTTGGAACCAATAAGATTTATTATAAACGCAGGACAACTTATACTACCAACATTTATTTGTAACTTTAAACATAATTGTTTTAATCTTATGTCATTGAAGGATTTCCAAAGCATAATTACTAATGACATTAAAAAAGGATCTTTAATATTTAATCAACTGTATAAAGAATTATCTAGAATTATAACAAAAACAAAATTACTAAGAAATATTAATACAAAGCAACTACTACATATCATGCGATGTATAACACATGTTTTTGTACAACAAATTATAAACATTATGATGCAGTCCATAGATTATATGTTAACCATTATGAGTAATCAATATTATTGTCCACAAATTAAATTTCAACTTATTCTACAGGATGGTCAACTCTTTATCAGTCCTAAAATTAGAGAAATATATTCAACATATCATGATATAATTGACAATATTGGTTCAATTGCTCAAAATTTCACCCCATTTGAAGAATTATTAAATTTGAAAGTACCTTTTAAATTTATTCAAATAAAATTACCTGATTGGTACATCGAAGTATCTCATAATAAATTACAAAACATACTGTATAACTTATTTCAACCTATAAATGAACATGTAATGAGTATGGCTGAAGAATTTTATCCTATATGTGAACCACATGCAAAAAACAAAATATTATCATTAAGTTTAGGAAAAATAAACTTTGATTCATATCTCAAATATATTAAAAAGTATAATATGTATGTGATAAAAACAAATACAATAGTAGGAAATATATATTATAAAGTAGGAAAATTAGAACAAAATGAAGCTAAAGAAGCTTTAAAAAGAGAATCATGGAATATTATAAATGCTTTCTTATTTAAGGTAATTAATTACCACAAAGAATACAATATGAGAATATGCAAAGAATTTGAAAACTTGAAAATGAAAGCATTGGATATACCAAATGAAGCAAAATCTTTAATAGAGTTAACTGAGTACATCTTATATGCATCAAAAGAATTAATAAAACAATTAGAATATAAAATTCAGCAGTCAATACATATGCTATGTATATTATTAGAAATTACAATTTTATCGGACGATCATATTAATTTAAATAAAAAAACTATAAATTGGTTACATGAAATTAAGCCTGTATTTAAGCAAAATAATACATTATGCGAAGCAATGAAAAATGAATTAGAAGATGACATGCAAAAAAGAATAAACAATTTAAATTCTGAAGTAAATGATATTATTCCTCGACTCAGTGTTTTAGATAATATGGATGACATTAATAGAATTGGAGAGTATATTGAATATTATAAAGGAATACTTAAAGAAGTAAATAAAATTGATATTGAAATGCAAAGAATCAATGAAGAAGAAAAATTATTCAAATTTCCTGAAACTGAATTTCCCAAAGTAATAGAATTGCGAGAAGTAATTATACCATTTCATGATCTTATTTGTACTATTTGTCAGTGGCAAAAAGACAATAATGTGTGGTTAGATGGTCCATTCGAGTGGTTAGATTCTACTATCATAAAGAAAAAAACATTACATTATTTTGAAACGATTACTGACATGAACAAAACATTTAAAACAAAAATTAAAATGGATTTAAGTACAAATAAGTGTTTTAAATTTTCTGGGATTGCAGATGATCCAGACCCTATGCAACAACCTGCTCCTTTAAAACTATCTTGGCAAGCTCTTAACAATATAAACGATTTTAAGAAATATTTACCATTAATAGTATGTATGTGTAACCCAGCTCTCCAAAAATCTCACTGGCTAGAAATGTCTGCAATATGTAATGTTGATCTTACACCCAATGCTGGAACTAGTTTAAGAAAAATTATTTCATTCGATTTAATGGAAGACATTAAAAAATATGAAGCTATTAGCATAGGTGCCAACAGAGAATTAGAGCTACAAAAAAAATTGTTACAAATGATTGAAGAATGGAAAATAGTTTCTTTTGAAGTAAGCTTTGACAAAGAATCAAAAATGCACGTTTTTTCCAATCTGAATGATATAGAATTACTTCTTGAAAATCATTTCATAGTAATTGAAGAAATGAAAACTTCTTATTTTGTGAAACCAATAGCTTCAAATGTAAAAGATTTTTTTATATCTCTTGATACAATTAAAAAAATCATTATACAGTGGTATGATATTCAAGCATTGATACTCCCTTTGTATTCTATTTTTTGTTACCCTAGCATAGGAAGATATTTACCTAAAGAATTAGCCTTGTACACAGAAATGAAAGAAGTTTTGACAAATATTCAGAACAAGTTATGTGAAATGCCCACTTTTTTAGAAATTGACAATCTACTAATTTTAAAATCTTTATATGATTGTAAAGAAAAACTTGAAAAAATACATTATGGGGTTCAAAATTACATTGAATCTAAACGATTATGCTTTTCAAGATTTTTTTTTCTTTCTGATAAAGAAATTCAAAACATATTATTTGAGTTGAACAATTTCGAAGAATTACATATATTAATAAAAGCTTGTTTCGAGGGTATACAAAAAGTTCAAATGAATAAAGAAAATCAAATTTATTCTGTTATTGGTGATTATGGTGAAGAATTACGTTTAGATATGTTAATCCATGTTCATTCCGATTATGAAGAAAAATGGCTGATATATTTAGAAAATGAAATAAATGCTACCTTACAAAAAAGTATTTTAAAATGTTGGAATACTTTTAATAAAACTTTTAACTATTATGATATCATCAATTTTCCAAGCATGACAGTTATATCTGTTTTTCTACTTCATTGGACTTATGATGTAAGTAATTGCTTTATATCATTTAACTCTGAAACATTAAATTCTTTATACTTGAAATATCTTAATTATTTATCTAGTTTAGTTATTGAATTGAGGAATTATACAACACAAAGACACAGAAATATGGTAAAATCCTTAATTATCGTAATCAGTAATCAAAAAGACATCATTAAATTATTGATAGATAAAAAAATTACTGAATATACAGACTTTATGTGGGTTGCACAGTTAAGATACTATTTAGAAGAAGATTATGTTACAGTATCAATGTTTGATGCAAGTATAAAATATGGATATGAGTATAATTACTATAAACAATGTATAGTTAATACTACTCTTACAGAAAGGTGTTTCCACACACTTATGCAAGCATATAAATACCACTTATATGGGGCTATTACAGGATTACCTTCCTCAGGGAAAACAGAAACCATTAGAAGTCTAACAAATGCTATTGCGGTACAGTTTCGTATTTTTAATTGTGCCGATATATCTTCTTACAATTTTATATGTCAAATACTTAAAGGATTCATTTCTTGTGGAGTATGGCTTTGCTTTGAAAATTTTAATAGTTTGAAGTTTGAAATATTGTCCATGATTACACAAAATCTTATTTGTATCGCACAAGTGATAAGTACAAATTTAAAAGTCATAACTTTTGAAGGTTCACAATTGAATCTAAATACAACTGGACATATTTGCACCATCACTAATCTTGGTTCATTTAAATATTGTGAACTGCCTGATAATTTAAAATTATTATTTAGAAAAGTGTGTATGATGATGCCGGATATCAATAAGATTATAGAAATTGAATTATTTGCTGCTGGTATGTACAATTCTAAGCTTTTGGCATTAAAGTTAACTACACTTTATAGGATACTGTCTGAACAATTATGGTGCGAAATGTGTAACACTTTTAATATACGTTCTGCAAAAATAATTGTTGAGACCTTATCTTATTTAAAAAGAAGTTTTCCAGATGAAGATGAAGTTATGTTACTTTTACGTTCGTTAATTGATATTCATCTTCCTAGACTTTGCAATGTAGACACTCTTATCTTTAAAAATATTATATATAATATGTTTCCTGGTACTACTTTGTTACATCCCAATTATGAAATACTTTTAAATACTCTTGAAATAATATGTAAATCTAGATGTCTATACATCCATGATCTTTTTAAACTCAAAATTATACAAGCGTTCGAGTTAATGTATATTCATCAAGCTGTAATGTTTGTTGGTGATCCTTTTGTAGGAAAAACAAAAATTCTACATGTTTTAATGGATGTTTTAGTATCTTTACACGAACAGGGTATAGAATTCGGTGTTAATGTAAAATTAGAAACTATAATTCCAGGAGTATCTAACATTGATCAATTATATGGTCATTTCGACAACAAATCAAAAATGTGGAAGGATGGAATATGTTCTAAAGTTTTTCGTTCTGTTTCAAATGTCTCTTGTTATAAAAAGTGGATATTATTTGATGCACCATTAAATGACACATGGATTGAAAGTTTGTATACAGTTCTAGACACAAACAAGGTACTACATTTGACATCAGGTGAAAAAATTAATATAATGGATTCAATATCTATTATCTTTGAAACAATGAGTATTATAGAAACTTCTCCAGCTATATTATCAAGATGTGGAATAATTTATATTGAATCACAGTCTCTTGATTGGAGGCCATATGTTAAAACACATATTTATAAACATGACATTTATAATGAATATGAAGAAATATTATATTCTTTATTCGACTGGGTAATGGATCCTCTTCTAGAATTTATACAAAAACATTGTACAATGACTTTAATTATAAAACAATTACATTGTATAATATCAACATTAAATTTACTTGAAATGTATTTGAAAGATGCTCAATTGGAAAATACTGAAGAGAAAGGAAAAATAAATCATTTTATAATATGGATGCAAGCTGCACTTATATTATCTATTATATGGGGATTAGGAGGAAATTTAAATATGGATTCCCATATTAAATTTAATTCCTTTTGTATATCACTTTGGAGCGGTAAAAGCGAAGAATATCCAAAACCTAAAACGATAAAGAATTTCGATGTAACATTACCTCATGATGGATTAATACAAGATAATATTTATATTTTTAAAGGTACAGGGAATTGGAAGTATTGGGGTGATTTATTAAAAGCTGAAAAGGTATTAGAAATACCTGGTACCAATGAAATTTTTGTACCAACAATTAATACTATGAAATATAACCATTTGTTATTAAAACATATTAAATTTAGAAAACCTTTTCTTATTTGTGGAAATAAATCTACTGGAAAAACTTCTTTAATAAGGAATTTGATAAAAAACAAATCAGTCGAAAACAAGTATTTAATCAACTTCTTTAGTTTTGCTTTCATAAATTCTGTATCAAGAACACAATATTTGTTACTTTCAAAATTAAATAAAATAAAAACAGGCCATTACGGTCCTTCAAAAAATCAATTCTGTATCTGTTTCATTGATGATTTCAATGCAGAAACACAAGAATATAAATTAGAAGTAAATAGTATTTTAGAACTTTTACGGCAATATCATAGTTATGGCTATTTCTATAATATTAATGAACCTGAAAAAATTTTTATTCACGACACAATGTTTTTACTTACCATTATAGGAAATGAGTCAATTAAAATATATCCTAGATTCTTAAGGCACTTTAATATATACAGTATTTATATGCCACCTTCGGATACTATATTTAGAATATTTTCAAATACACTTTTTGCTAATTTCAAAAAAAATTCTTTTACGGCAGATGTCTTAACTAGTGTAACTAGTATAACAAATGCTACAATTGATATTTATAATTCTATAATGAAAAATCTTCTACCAATACCTATGAAATTTCAATATCAATTTAATATAAGAGATATAAGTAAAATAATTAATGGTTGCAGTCTTCTTCAGAAAGAATCAGTGGAAACAAAAGTTACTTTTATTCGCCTTTGGGCACACGAAGTTTGGCGTACTTTTGGTGACCGAATATTAGATAACGAAGATAAAAAATACCTTTTTACTCAGATCAAAGAAATCACTAAACGACATTTCAAGGATTCATTTGAAACCGCTTTTGATTACTTACCGAAATTTGAAAACAATCAAATTACAAAAGAATCCTTTAATGAGTTAATATTTAGTAATTTTCTAGATATAGAAAAAGATAAGAATAAGAAATATGAAGAAATTGCTTCTATAGAGAAATTAAAAAATAAAATTCTTTTCTATTTAAATAAGTATAATAATAATTTTAAGAAACAAATTAATATAGTTATAACGCAATATGTGTTAGAAAGTCTTATTAAAATCACAAGAATATTAGCTATACCAGGAGATAATTTATTGATGATTTCAAATATAGGTTCTGGTAGAAAATCTATAACAAGTCTTGCAGCTTATATAAATAGACAAGAATTATTTGAACCATTTACACAATCTTCTTATAATTTCAATTTATGGAGAAATGATTTGAAAAAAGTTTTACGAAAATGTGGTGGTTTAAGGGAAAATCTAACATTTTTTATAAAAGATAAACAAATATCAGATGCTTTTATTTCTGATATTAATAGCCTCCTAGCTACTGGCGAAATACCTGATTTATTTTCTATCAAAGAAAAGTATGATATTATAGAAATGGTACGTTTGCATGCTCAAAACGGAAACAAAAATGCAGAAATAAGTGCTCATTCTGTGATGAATTATTTTCTAGAACAATGTAAAAATAACTTACATATTATTATATGCTTCAATTCAACAAATAAAAAAATTAGATCGTATTTACATAGATATCCAGAACTAATAAAATATTGTACAATAAATTTATATAATACATGGCCAACAGAAGCGCTTATACAAGTAGCCTCAAAATATATTCAAGACATTAATGTTCAAGAAAATATAAAAGAAAATGTAATAACAGCATGTATAAAGTTGTACAACAGTGCACAAGAAGTAAGTAATGAATATTTTAAAGAAACTTCCAAAACAGTTCATATTACATTATCTGCATTCTTACACATGTTGAAATTATATTTTCATCTCATATTAGAAAAACAGAAAAACATTATTGCAACAAGAAATAAATATTTAACAGGTTTAGAAAAGCTGGAACTAGCAGCACAACAAGTAGAAAAGATGAAAGCTACATTAACAATATTAAAACCACAATTAGAAATATCTGCTCAGCGAACAATAATTACTATGAAGGAAGTAGAAAATGAAAATATTAGTGTAGAAGGAGCTACTATTCTCGTACAACAAGAAGAAAAAATAGCAAATAAGAAAGCAGGAATAGCTAGTACACTAAAAATGGAATGCGAAGCTGATCTGGCTGTAGCAATTCCAATTTTGGAAGATGCTGTTGCTGCATTAAATACATTAAAACCAACAGATATTACACTTGTAAAAGCTATGAAAAATCCCCCTGATACTGTGAAGTTAGTAATGGCTGCAGTTTGTGTTATGCTTGATGTACCTCCGGATAAACCCATTGATCCAGTTACTGGAAAAAAATATACAGACTATTGGGGTCCAAGCAAACGCATTTTAGGTGATATGAACTTTTTACAAAATTTAAAAGATTATGATAAAGATAACATTCCATCTAACATCATGCAAATTATTAAAAAGACATATATATCAGACAATAACTTTAAACCACACATTGTAGCCAAAGCATCGAGTGCTGCTGAAGGACTCTGTAAATGGGTTCGTGCAATGGTATCTTACAATGAAGTTGCTAAAGCAGTTGCACCCAAAAAAGAAAAACTTCTTGCTGCACAAAAAGAATGCAATGAAGCTGAAGCTTTTTTAAATGAAAAACGTAAAACACTCTCTGCATTAAATGCAAAACTTGCAGCACTGAATAATAGTCTTCAAGAAACATTGCAACAAAAAATAAAATTGGAAAGAGAAGTAGAAGATTGTACTAACAAACTTAATAAGGCAGAAAAATTAATTGCAAGTCTAGGTGGTGAAAAAAATCGTTGGATGCAATGTGCCGTAAATCTACAAAAAAATTATGATAATCTTGTTGGAGATATGATATTATCATGTGGATTAATAAGCTATACAGCATCCTACACAACAGTTTTTCGCGACAAAATTTTAGGATACTGGAAACAGTATATTATAGATTTAAAAATACCATTTACTACCAATTACAATTTGATAAATATACATGGAGAAGAAAATGAAATAAATCACTGGTATCTTTGCGGTCTACCTAAACATAGATTTTCAGTGGAAAATGCTATTATTATGAATAACTCTAAATTATGGTGTTTATTTATTGATTCACATAACCAAGCAAATCAGTGGATTAAAACAATTGAGAAAAAAAATAGTCTAAAAGTTATTAAGCTTACTGATTCAAGTTATGTATCGATTATTCAATCTAGTATTGAAAGTGGTAATCCAATATTAATTGAAAATATAGGGGAACAACTAGAAACATCATTAGATCCCTTTCTTAAGGACAGAATTTATGATGATGAAAATATTTCACATTTGGATATTGAATGCAATATTATAAAATATTCACATGATTTTCGATTATACATTACAACTCGATTGTTGAATCCACAGTATTCGCCTGAAGTATTCAGTAAACTCACTATAATTGATTTTTCTATTCCAAATGAAGCTCTTCAGGATAAACTCCTTGATCTTGTCATGTTTAAGGAAAAACCAGAACTTCAAGAAAAATTTGAAACGTTGCATATGGAAGATGTTAATAACAGAAAAATATTAAAACAACAAGAAGATAATATTTTATGTACTTTATCTTCAACAACTACAAACATTCTTGAAGATGAGAATGCAATAAAAACTTTGGATTTCTCCAAAAATCTTTCTTTAAATATAATTAAAAAACAAGAAATAACAAAAATAATGTCTTTGGAAATCAATAAATTCAGAGATGCTTATACACAGTTCGTTAAATACTGTGTAGATTTATTCAATACGCTTATCGCTTTATCATACTTGAATCATATGTACTGTTTTTCTTTTACATGGTTTATACAATTATATATTAGATCAATTGAAATCTCAAATAGAAGTTCTATTCTTGAAAAACGTTTGGTATATTTAAAATCTTCATTTACTCAAAGCCTTCATGCGAGTATTTGTAGATCTTTATCAGAAAAACATAAGATAGTGTGTTCTTTCTTACTATGTTCTAAAATATTATTAGACAATAAGGAGACCACAGAAAAGGAAATAAAATACTTTGTATCTTCAAACTTGAAATATACCAATGTAATTTCTAATAATAAGCCAAATTGGCTACCACAAAATATTTGGGTAAAAGTTTGTGATGTTCAAAATACATTACCTGCTTTTAATGGCCTTGTAAATGATCTTTGTTGTAATGTTGAAAAGTGGAAGGAATATTATATTTCTGAAACACTTCAAAACGAATTATTACCTAAGCCTTGGGTCAACAAATCTTTTTTTCAAAAGCTCATACTTACCAAAACTTTGAAGCCTGATAAAATTATAGTACAGATTATGCAAATGATAGAAGATATACTAGGAAATACACAAAATTACTCTTCACAACTAAAAATATCTCAATCATACGCAGAATCTAGTTGTTTAACTCCTATTTTATTCATTCTACCAAGTTGTTTGTCACCTTTATCTCTTATTTCTGCATATGCAAAAACAAAGGGTTGTTTGTCAAAGTTTATTTCTTTATCTATGAGTAAAGGTCAAGATAAAACAGCTGAATTTCTTATACGCAGAGCTCAGACTGAAGGCAATTGGGTGTTCCTACAGAATTGTCATTTGGTACCTCATTGGATGATTAACCTTGAAAAGATCTGCGAAAATTGCAGCATTTCTAATACGTCTTTAGGTTTCAGATTATGGTTATCTAGTTACCCTACCAAAGAATTTCCACTTAGTATTTTGCAAAATAGCATAAAGATATCACATGATTATTCTTTGAATATTAAAGAAATATTGCTAAATATTTATCAATCTGAACCAATAACAAGGAAAAACTTTTTTGAAGGCTGTCCAGGAAAAGATAAAATATTCTCAAAATTACTTTTTGGGTTGTCCTTATTTCATATAATTATAGGAGAAAGAAAAAACTTTGGTGCTCAAGGTTGGAATATACCATATGATTTCGATTATTCTGATTTTCACATGTCTGTTATACAAATGCAAAACTTTATAAACCATACTGATTATATACCTTTTGATATTCTTGTGTATTACATTGGAAAATGTAACTATGGAGGAAGAATTATGGATAATTTTGATATCAAAAGTTTAATGTATTTTTTAATGGATTATTGTAACTTGGACATAGTTGAAGATGAACAACATACATGCATAAGTAATTTAGTACACTTGATACCACAGAAATGCGAATATCATTATGTAATTGAATATATTGAAGGAATGCCCTTAGATATATCATCTGAAGTTTTCAAATTTAGTAAAAATGGAGCTATTATTCGAGATACAATGATGGCCACTGAATTTTTAGCCTCTATCTCATGCATGAATCCTATTGATTCTTTATTACATGATCAATTTCCCCAAGACCAAATACTATGTTTAATTAATGATATCAATGATAAATTAGATGACTCATTTGAAATTAATCAATTGGAAGAGAATAAAACATTTTTGTTTCAAGAATCATTAGATAGAGTTCTTCTGTGTGAAGCAACGTTGTTAAAACATATTTTAACAATTATAACTCAAACATTAAATGAATTGAAATTAGCATTTGATGGTTCTGTCCCATTTACTGATTCTTTAAATAAATTGACAAAAGAAATTTATGAAAATAAAGTTCCTCATACCTGGAAGAGACTAAAGAATAATAACATAACTGATAATTTAGGATATTACATTGATAATTTGGCAAAACGCATAAAATTTCTAAAACAATGGATGAATGAAAGTTGCCCTAAAATTATTTGGCTTGATGCATTATTTTATAGTAAAATGTTCTTTTCCGCAATTTCATTATCATTTTCAAAAAAATATCATGTACCCATTGAAGAAGTTGAACTTGAATTTCAAGTTATGATTGAAGAAACTGATACAGAAGATGTTGATGCATATTTTATTTGTGGTTTGCATTTATCTGGCGCTCAGTGGGACGTTAAAAGAAATATGTTAACCGAAAATTTTACACATGTATTTTATCAAACTATGCCGCCCATATGCGTCAAATTTTTGCGCACTAAAAAGGAAACAAATAAAGTTTATGACTGTCCTGTCTATGTAACTGCTATTCAATATGCTGATAAAAATATTAAATTTACATCGATGAATTACATAATTAACATACCTTTAATAACAGACCAAAGTGAAGCCCATTGGATAAAATGTGGCACGGCTTTGTATTGTCATACTTCATAATCTAAATTTCGGAAAAAATTTTTTATGAAAATTATATATGTGTACATATATGTATATATATATATATACATTTCTAATAATATAATAAATAATGGTTAAAGTAACTATTATTCTATAACTTGGGGCAGTGTGTTGTGTGTAGTTGAAAAAATTAGTAAAAAATTAAGATGGAAATAAAGTGTATATTCAAATATTTCGCGGATTCGCTGACTATATATATCCGGTTCGGTTCCATATAAATGGAAGGAATGACAGGTAAATTGAAGAAATTGACGTAAAGTTAAATTACTGAACAAAGAAAATTATTGCAAGAGGAATTTTAGCAGCAGTTTAGAATCAGGTACAATTTCCAATCCACCGTAAGTGATCTAATATTTGCAATCAATGGCGAGCCACGAAGAGTTGGTTTCGCAATTTACAGATGTAACTGGTGTTGAACCTGAACGAGCACAATTTTACCTTGAGTCATCTGCTTGGCAGCTCGAGGTGAGGCAGCATATTTATTAAATGTTTTATGTATATTAATACAAAAAGCTTTTATTACAATTTACAAGTATTTAATTTTTAAGTAACATTCTTCAATTACCAAAATTTCAGCACCAGTTTTATAACCTTAAATGTAACAAATTTAAATATTTTCATTATACAAACTTACGTGCTATAAATACATACGATTTGAAATAGTTTATAACTTTAGTCATCACACAGGGTATATTTCAAATAAGAAATATTGTACAACATAATAATGTACAATTACATCATTATACAAATTTGCCTAAAAAAAAAACTATTTAAAAATCGATAAACGTTTTATTTTTGCAATATTGTCCATGATGAATAGTTTATAATTAAAATTGCAGTTAACATTAAAACCAATTCTTTTCACCGTGACTTTGTATTAATCAGTTTGAAGCTTCTAGTAAGTTAATACACCGCATTCCATTTTCAAATGTTTTAGGTTGCTCTTGCCAGTTTTTATGAAAATGATGAACCTACTGCATTAATTAATGAACGTGCTGAAGATTATAGAGAGACTTCAGACAAAGTTGTAGAAAGTGCAAAACCCTCTGAAATGGAAGGACAATCAGCACAAGGAAAATCAAAAGCAAAATCTAGATTTGCAACGCTTACTGATCTCAAAGACAAAGAAAGCAGCCCTGAAGATGAAGACGTGCAGACATTTTATGCTGGCGGTTTTGAAAACAGTGGACAACAAGTTTTAGGGCCAGCAAAGAAAAAAGATATTATTAGTGATATGTTTAAATCTTGCCAAGGACATTCTGTTGAGGCAAAACCTAAACCACAGCAAAGACCAAATACATTCAGTGGTACGGGATATAAATTAGGTCAAACAAATTCTGATACTGAAGGTACATTATGAGTATTCCTCATTCTTAGAAAGTACTTTAATAATTATACTAAAGACTCTATTTCTTTTTATTTAGTTGTTACTGCTTCATCCTCTAGTAATTCACAACCTAATTCTGGACCTATTACTTTAAAGTTATGGAAAAATGGATTTACTGTAAATGATTCTGATCTTCGGTCTTATAATGATCCAGAAAATAGGAAATTTCTTGATACCATTAAAAGAGGTGAAATACCACCAGAAATACGTCAAGAAATTGTAAGAAGTACTGAAGCGTGGATCGATATGGAGGACCGCCGTCATGAAATTTATCTTCCTCAAAAGGTCAAAGTAAAGGCTTTTGCTGGAAAGGGACATATGTTAGGAAGGTATATCACATCTTGTATAATAAATATTTTTTACATACACTTCATATATTTTTAATAATCTCTCTATTCAGTCCTTCTCCAGCAACTGTTGGCATGACAATACCAACAGATCTAGCAGATCAAGCAGCAAATGAATCAGAAGCAAAGAAACAATTAAATTTAGATGAATCAAAACCTATTACAACTTTGCAAATTCGTCTTGCTGATGGTACTAATGTTAAAGCTCAATTTAATTTAACACACACAATTAATGACTTGAGGCAGTATATAGTAACGTATCCTTTAATAATTAGGTATTCTTATTATATCCTTAATTTTATTTTTATAAGTATACAAATTATTCCTTAACCAGTTATATTTTAGTATGAGACCTCAGTATGCTATGAGGGAATTCAGTTTATTAACAACATATCCCACTAAGGAACTTAATGAAGATAAAACAATTGAAGAAGCTGGTATACAAAACACAGCAATAATTCAACGACTGAAATGAACACTTTTTCTAGATCCTTAGTTATGGAAGTTTAAATGATGTATCAATTTGATCATTCTTAAATATACATTAATATACTTAAAAATAACAATTTATTACCTTTTTTAGGGATAAATACAACATGCTCTATAATTTCAATATTTATTTTGAATTTAGTTCTTAACACATGATATTAATTTTGTTGATGTAACGCAGAAAGCATATTATTAGTCTGACTATTCATAATAAATTGTTAATTAGGAAACATATAATAAAGCTACCGCACTTTTGTAAAATCTATAATAAAATTATCGATGTAATATGTTGGTTTTTTTATATGAGTGTAATTACTAAAATACAACTAAAAAATGTAGTTTTGGAAATAAAATCCTTGAAACAAGGAAAAATATCAAAATTTTAAATGGATATACTCAAAAGCTGTTATAAGAGCTTATAAAATATTTACATTTATATACGAATTATGACGTTATTAAAACATATATTTTGTGTTTTAACATTTTGTACAATATTTTAAAATATACATTCATATACTTATATAATACATATAAATAGATCAGACTTTCGGGCTAAAATTATATACTGTCATTATGTAGGTAATTTCAAATTGAATCTATAGAATAATTATTTATTATCATGAATTTGTTAAAAATCTTTTCTCTGTTATAAATTTTCTGTATATTAATGAATTTTGTATGTCTTCTTTAAATCTCAGAATTGAAGTATCTTCTTTGCGTGTATCAGATTTTGAATTTTCAAAACAATACTTATAACGATTTAACGTGACCAGATCTTCGCTAATTTTTCGGATATAAATATTGTCTTTTTTTAATATTTCACGTGTACTGTATATATATATAGGTCGACTATCAATGATGCTTGAATCAAATTCAGTTTTTTTAAATATTTTAAATAGTGCATTTTTAGCCAGGGCGTTATTAGTTTGTTGCTCGCAAAAAGTCAACGATTTTATACTGTAACGATCAGCTTTCATTCTAGCTTGTTTAAAATCTGATAATAAATCAACAAGAGAATGATGATATTTTAAAACAATATATTCCTCCCATGATAATGTAATCGTGTACATAACTTTGTTGTATGTACGATATAAACAGTCTGCCTGTATGAGATCTTTTATCACATTTGGGTGAATTCCAGAAAAAGGGAAGTTCCATGATACAACTGTATATGTAAATTTCCAATATGGATTTTCAGACTTAGATAATTCTTTAAGCTCATCATTGAAATAATTTGAAATACCGAAATCATATACTATAAAATTATCCATACCAATTATATCATGAAAATTGATAAAAGCAATCATTTCTGATAAATGCATTGGTTTTGTTAATGGTGGTGTTACACATACTCCAATATTGGTATAATTTGAATTATGAAGTAGAGACTTAATAGCTAATATAGGTGCATCATTAAGATTTATATTGGATTTTGTGAGAAAAGTTATTCCTACTGGAATTTTATTTTTATTGTATGTACAATAAAAATAATACCCATTGTAATCTGAACTTTTATGGGTTTTTGTGCTACTTAAATTATTATGAATTGGAGTATATCTAAAACTGCCTAGAATTGGCTTCAGTTCATTATCAAAATATATTATACATTGCATATTATGAATATTACTTAGTAAACCAAAACCTATTACGAGAACTTCTTTATTATGCATGTTGTATGCGGAATAAATGTATAAATCATGCTCTAATTTCTGCCATGATGGAAGAGGTTCATCGAATTTCATATTAAATTTACTGAATACTGGCACATTATTTGTACAGTTTGTTTCAATATTTTTTTGATTTGGCTTACCAAAGTAATTAAACACTTCTAATACATATCTTAACTTATTGTACTCATGTCTATAAATCAATAAAGACACAAGACTCACTATTGCAATAATTGCAAGTGCTGCTTGGTAATATTTTCGCATACTTTCAAAATTATTTTAATCCTGCATGTATCAATTCATGTATTAATGCATTTTTGGTTTGCCAATTATCATGGATACAATTCTGAAACAAAAATTTTATTTACACAATTAGGTATAACGCTCAAATAAGTAGATATAAAGCTAGTTTAATTATGAATACCTGTAAAATGAAGTGAGCAATGATTGTTGTTTTTCAAATTACAACATATTGTTACTGCGATTGAAGTGCCTATTTAACTCACGCGCAATTTCATGTAACTTTTGGTAATAAATTATTAGACTTATAACTTACTAAGTTACTTATTATATTATATTACAATTTTTTAAATTATTTAATGATAACTGAATAAATGTTGGAATTCTTTATTAGAAAATAAATTTGTTTCATAATCAAACAGAGAATGTTAGGTTAATTCACCTAAGCGCCATTTCCAAATAATATGATAAACATGTAATACCTATGTGAATATATGCACTAAAAGTTACATTAACAGTTAGGTATAAATTATAATTAGTAATATCATTAATAATCAAGATATCTAAATATTTTTTACGGTTATTATTATATTATTTCAAAAATAAAAATAATGATGACTATTGATGCATATGTTCAAAATTTATAATACATTTTTATAATACATTGAAATTTATAACGAAGTGTTATTTTAAAAAACGCATGTTAGGTTCAAATAATTAATAAAAAGACAAATAAAACTCTAGTACAAAACTTATAATTATTACTTTATACAATGGCATATTGTTCATACAATAAATCACGTACTTTATAATAATCTTCAGATAGGCAGCCTTCTAATATCACTTTACCAGCCTCATGCTGAAAAGAGAACTAAATGATGTTATGTCCTTTTTAATATATTGTTCTTTATAAAATTAAATACCAACCCTTCTAACAGCAATGGAATTATTACAACACCATAAAACTCCTCCGCTAAATTCAGAGGGAATATTACTCTTATTTAAAATTTGTTTGAAGTCAGATAATTTTAACTCATTTATAAATGTTGTTTGATGTCCAGGTACCTACGAAGCGAAGTATAATATGTATATTTATGTTTTCAAAAGTACAATGAAGTTATACAAATGTATACCTCATTTAATGGTAAAGGTTCTAAAGTAAGTATTTTATCATTTTGATCTATCGTGTCATCTTGTTGTGTGTCAGCAACAGCATCCCGACAAACTTGATCTCGAGCAGTTATCATTGCATCAATCCATGCTACTTCAGAATCACCTTTTCCTTTAGAAAAGTTTAAACCACTAACAAGAGCATCAGTCAAACGGACCTAAACGTAATTAGGATGTTAAATATTATATACATAATAAGAATTTGAAATTTATATACACCTGAGCCTCGATTTACGCGGTAAATTAGAACACTACTTACATAGTAATTTTTACGCGCGATCTGAATTTAGCACCGAATGAAATGTACTTTTGTTTTCTGAAATGTTATTGCTATTATTTCTTTAATTTGGTTATATGAAATAAATATGTTTTTCTAAAACTTATACCAGCTTATCTTTCGAATATTTTATTTTCTCTTGTATTTACTGACAGACTCTATTTACGCGATTTTTATTCGCGTAAAACGAATCTATGTGGAACGGATTTTCGCGTAAGTCGGGAGTAAATTAGGAGAAATGAATTGCTTTACCTGATAAATATGTGTTTCTGTTGTAGCATCTAATGTTTCTCCTCTACCAGGGATAAATACTCGTGCACCTGCACCTTGTGCTTGTTGAGCAAGAATTTCTGTATCCTTTGGAGCCCCTCTAACCAATACAACTCTTCGAGGTCTCAATTGTGCTAGGATTTTTTGCAATGATTCACCATCAGATCTGCCTTCAAAGTCTATGTATGTGACAGATGCGTTAACTGTCATTGTACGGGTAACTTGAATGCATTTGGTGGGAATGTCAGTAGCTACCTCCGGATGATGTGCAGCATCTTCTTGTTTTGTTTCTAGATTTTCTTTATTATCATCTATTTCTGGCATAGTTTCTGCGATTTTATAGTCTTCAGGTCTACAATAAGTATTTATAAAGAATCATCATATGTCTGTATTTTTAATTTATTAAATATGTTACCTTATAATTTCTCCATATTCATCTATCTTAATTTTTTCTTCTACAAACGGAAACATAGGATGTTGTTTCTTACTTTGCTTAAAAAAGCCAGGTTTGCTTTCTTGTTTCACTAATAAATCATGTTTCCCTCTTCCACCACCAACTTCAATTTCATCTTCCGATTCAGAACTTACATCAGCAGTTTCCCTAATGAATAAATTGTCAAAAGTACAATGAAAGCATTACTTTTAAAATATTATAATACACCACTACATACATTTGTTCCTGTTTTAATTGTTCTTGTTTTAATCTTTCTTTTCTTTGATGTTCTTCTAATTCAAGACCTTCTAGTCTAATTCTTCTTTTCACTTCCAATGTAATATTTCTATTGCCTCCTTTCTCTACTAAATCTCTTGCCAATGTTCCTGGGGAAGTTCTACTAGTTAAGATAATACTGTTTTGAGGATTACTACACCACTGTAAAAACAATTCTCTTGAGAATCCACATTCCATATCCGGAGTACTTGCAAGTACAACCTAAAAAATTTATATAAATTAATTATTTATCTTTGGTAATATTTATAAATTATTAACATTTTATTTTTGACCTTTGGACTAGGAACTTGATTTAGTTCTGCCATGCTGTGACATAGTTGCAAGTGTTTAAATTGGAATGGATTATTTCTAGCTCCTTCAAAGCTTCTCATTAATTTATCACTCATCCATTCAATCTGTGATTTTGCAAATTCTACAACATTATAACTAACATTATTCAGAAGAGCCAGTGAATATGCAAGCAAACCAGATTCTTTATTACGCCAAAGCTGATCCAACATATGTGCTAATTCTAATACACGACCAGCTGTATCTACACTGACTAAAACATTTCCACCACCACGCAAGGTTTGTAAAATATTTGCTGTAAAGTACAATTTTCAGTTTAAAACCACTCTGAAATACCATTATCAAACTTTTGTAAGAGAAATTTTCATACTCATCAACTTTTCATCTCTAGTTCTACGCCTAGCTTGCTGATACGTAGCATTAAAAGCATCTGTTATCAATAAAGATGGCCTTTGTAATCTTTCTAATTCACAACCATTTAAGTGTCTCTCCTTTTTATGATTGAAATCTACTGCATATATTATATCTTCTTCCCCAACCTTTACAATTTTCCAAATAGTTCCTCCAATCATGTGACCAGCTGGCAAAGGTGTCAAAGTAACTCCATATCCTTTTCCTTTCATTGATATACTTTGATTATATTTCAACTGAACAATTTTATCAAATGCTGCATCTACATCATCCAATGTAAAGAGATCAAAATCTTCCATATTATGACGAGACTGTAATCAAATGCATAAATTGATAACTGCACAAAATATAGTTTCATTTCAAGTCATAATTAAAGTCCTTTACATTGATAATACCTGATACATATCATACATAAACATTTGTCCCATTTTATATACAGGAATTGTAGCATATATTGGACAATTTAAACCACATTTTCCAACTAAATATGGTAAAGCACCCAAATGCAATGGATCTGGATATGACAGCAATACTGCGTCTATTTGATGTACATGCCTAAAAAATGATAAAATAATATAATATTGCAGCAAATATGTAATTTAAAGCTACATAGAATTATAATAACTGATCTACCGTTTTAATTCCTTTATAAATTCTTGATCAAAATTTTCATCCCATCCACAATCAAGTAGTATTCTTAATTCATCAACTTGTAATATATAACAAGGAGGAGATTCATCCATAGCTCCAGAAACAGCATGAAGCTTTATAATTGACGTCATTGTTTTTAATTTCTCCTACTTATTATAACGTATAAAAACAGCAGATAAGCATTTAAGATGAGGTATTCCTAAAATGTATTTCTTTAAATTATCGTGGGAAACTTTTTAATATAATATTTTATTACGATGTACCTTGAATCTAACCTAGAAGGTAATATAATAAGTTACGAATAAATTCGTAATTTTCCTTGTAGAAGTTTCAAAATACTTCCAAAAAAACAATTTCTGTAACCTTCTAAGATACATTTATATGAACGTGCGTTTCAAATATTTGAAATATTTGACAACAAATCATCTTCAAATTATTTCTCGAATTTACAAAATCAGCGGTCAACGAACGGTAGAATGAAATACTATCTAATCTCACGGTATTTCGCGGTAAAAAAGATGCATGTGTGATTTTCTTAAAATCCTTGTAATACAAATTTATACATATAAT